CTCCCGGAGACCCCACTTCCATCGCCGTGCCTGCCCTTCGAAGTCGCAGCTCCGAGATACGTACACTGCCAGACAGCCAATGGGGCAGGCAGGAGAAAATCCGGGGAAGAGAAGACATGTCCGCATTGCCGGGTCGGTTTGGGGCCACGTCATCTCGGATAAGTCTCAGATCATAGCAGTAAGTCAGTAATCGTGCTGCCTCGAAAAGGATGTTAACTACTAACTCAAGGCAGAAGAAGTAGTCTTGGGTACGAGTATGCCAAATCCGGCAGCATCCGGTGATGCAGCCTGCGAAACCATCATCTTGGCGTCCGAGCGATGCCTGGTCATCGAATTGCGGGACACGACCTCTTCCGCAGCTTGAATGGATGAATGCCTGTTAAGTTCCGATGCCCTTCGGAGCTAACCACGGATCGGGGCCGGCGGAATTGCACACTGGACCCGGTTATCCCTCTCCTAGCGCACGGGGCCGCGGCCGCTAATAATCACGCAAGCTATGTGCTTGCTTTTGGGTGAGGACTGCCCCGAAGCCACTCGGCTCGGGGGACGGGGATTGGGTTCAACGATCGGACGTTAGATGGGCTTGGAGCCTAGCGTAAGGGGAAAATGGAGACCAACGTAACTCTGCAACGATTTGAGTACCACGTATGAAGATGTGCAAGGGCGGCTGAGTAAGGCGTTGATGGGGAAAGCCGGAGGGAGGTGGATGCACACTGCATCAGTGCGGAGACGGCTGGTTTCTGTTCCTTGTGGGAAAGTATAAAAGTGTTACCTCTTACGGCTGATGCATCGCTGTTCTGCTTGTCTTGATTCTAGCTCCCCATCGTGGTTTAACTCACTTTACACTAACTTGAATCATCGATTCCGTCCCAAGAACGCAGTCTTCAAACAGGCAAGATGGCGACAACGCTGGGATCTAAAAAATCAATTCGCATCGGCGTAATGTTGGAGGCCGTGCAGCTGAGCGACATCATGGGCATCGATCTCTTCGGCAACCTGTCTCGTGAATACTACAACAAAGTCAAAGACTTTGATCCCGAATTCGCACAATGGGCCGACCACCCAGTAGATACCAAGTTCTACTTCATCTCGTCCACGCTGGAGCCGGCCGAGATGACACCCGGTCTCAAGTTCGTCCCGAACATAACCTACGACGACTGCCCTCGAGATCTAGACCTCGTCCTCATCGGTGGCCCACTCCCCAGCCATCGCCCTCCCGCTGCCGACCGCTTCATGAAGGAAGCCTACCCGAAGACCAAGGTCTGGTTGACAACGTGCATTGGTAGCCCTTGGTTGGCCAGCGCTGGGGTGCTGAAGGGGAAGAAGTGCACCACGAACCGCGAATTCTTGCCGTTTGTGAGGCAGGTCCACCCTGAGACTGAGTGGCTTGACCAGAGATGGGTCGTCGAGGAGAAGGAGTATGAGGGCGAGGAGAAGGGCGAGCTGTGGACTGGAGGTGGAGCCGGCGCTGGTAAGACTTGTTTCGCTCACACCCTGCTCATTGTTAATGGTTATATGACTCTAGGCCTTTCGATGATCATCACATACTTGAACAAGAACTTCGATCCTGGATTTGTACAAAAGATGGCACTCGAGGCCATTGCATTTGAAGAGTTGGCGCTAAACCAGTTTTACAAGACCTCAAGGTCGACAGCATAAGCGATCAAATGAAATGGTTGAATAGTTACAATAGTCCCCAAATTTTCACCATCGCATAGAGCTGTTCTACTTACCTTGCTCATGTGCACTGAGAGGCTATCTATCATGCATCTACGTAACGGATGATGAACTCTGGGGAATCATACCGATCCCAGCTCTCCGGCAAGCTTCTATCCGCCATGATCTTCAGCGCAAAGATGCTGAGCTGATATCTGCCAGCTGGCGCCCAAGAACCATCCGCCAAGCTACCATCCCAAGGGCTCATCCAGCCAATGGGCCTTACATAGGTCATGGGATATCCAGCTACGTTTCCAAGGGTCACCACACCGAGGCCGTTATCTCTGGCATCTGAAATGGTCTCAGACGCTGGAAACGCGACTGGCACGGCCTCGAGACGAACCTCGGAGCTTCCCATAACCAGCCACAAGAACTGGTTAGGGAACGCTCCAAGGGGGAGAATAAGGTCCGAAGTGTTTGCCAAGGGTAAGGCCCAGTCGGGATGCGCAGCCGGAGCGGGAAGCTGGAATGTGGTGTTTGCAGGTACATCTGGGCTCCTTGGATCGTCGCTGCGACTGAAAATGAGGCGATTTGCAGCCAAGACTGTGATTTTCTTCATAGATGTAGCTGCGCCGATGTAGGGGACCGATAGCGCGATCTCGCCGTCACCGTTGGTCCCGTTGAGAGCGACCCATCCAGAGTACAGTGGGAGGGTCGCGGCGTCCAAACCCTTGGGAGGAACCACGCTGATGCGAACTTCACCAGTAGCGTTGGGTTCCAAGCTAAAGCTGGATGGCTCAAAGGTCAGAGTCGCGTACGTCGTGAAGAGCTCGGGAGAGCTCTGACGATAAATGTCGGTGAGAGTGGTGGCGGTCAAGGCAGGAATGTGGTATACGTTGTACGTTGCCGCTGTGTCTCCGACGTTGGTTATAGTGAACGTGGTGTCGGAGATGAAGTTGTCGGTGTCATTGAACGAGAGACTGGCTACGCTGAGAACTGATGTCGTGTAGGCTGCGTCGTAGGCCTGTACCATGCCGGCTCCTTGTTGTGGCACAGGACCGAGGCCGGCTTCGATGTTGTCGACTCCGTAATTCTGTGAGAGGTTTGGCTTTGCGGTTGAGGCAAGCAGCCTCTTGATCAAGTCAGGATCCCTAGTTCCCCGTGCCTGTTCGATGTCAGTCTGATTAGTCTGGCTAGGAAGACGTCGCTCTCGCCGCAAGAACCTACCTGAGATACAAGAGCTACGATACTGGCAACTAGAGGAGTTGCCATGGAAGTACCAGATGCCTCAGCATACTCACCAAGAGCTACAGGCCACGTGCTCAAGATACCGGCACCGGGAGCCCCAAAACTCGGCGCAAGCTTGAGCTCGAAGGTCGGACCCCAGCTCGTAAAAGCTGACACCTTTCCCTCACTATCAGCTCCTTGACTCTGGTAGGATGAAATGGACATCACCCCGTCGCCAGTGCTCGGCGTGCTGATTCCGAACAGGCCTTCTGTACCGCCAACCTCGTTGCCAGCGGCGAAAGTGCAAGGAACGCCGGCATCCACGATCCTCGAGACAGTCACGGCAAACGCCTCTCCAGCCCAACCATTAGGACCTCCGATGGATCCAGTAATGATATCGCTGCCATCCTCGAAGGCCTTGATAACGCCTGCAAGCAGAACATCGCCAGTCGTCTGGCCGTTACACGCAAAGGTCCGGTACATGCCCAGCTTCACCCCAGGCGCCGCACCGGTGAAGCCCATGGGGTTCTCCATGGCAGCAATGATACCGGCGACGTGGGTGCCGTGGCCGAGACAGTTCTCGAAGGGATCCGCATCGGGGACGGGCGCGTTCGCGCCGTCATAAGCGTCCCCCACGACATCGGATCCGAACTCGACGAGACATCCTGGACCAAAGCAGCCGCCTAGGGCGGGGTGGGTGTAGTCGATGCCTGTGTCCACGATGCCAATCTTGAGACCTGTTCCGATGAAGCCCTTTGCACGGAGCTTGTCGACTTGCGTCATGACGTGGGGTGGCCAATTATCTGTAGAGTTTATTTGGCGTTTGTACTTGGATGGAGTCTTGTCTTTGCCGGTCCAGGTGATGTCGAGCTTTGGGACGCTGATCAGGGGGACGGGCCAGAGTTTCTTGACTTGCGGGAGGCCGGCGATCTTCGAGGCTGTCTCATTATTGGAGCCCTCGACGTGAATGGAGACACCCTTGAAGATCTTGGAGTGGAGGTTGAGGCGCTGGGAGATCTTGGTCGCGCCGGTTTCTGTCTCCAGCTGGCTGAGGAATCCAGAGCCATCCTGTGACGTGTTAGAGAATCGCCAATGGGTGCAGGTGAAGCTGGCGAACTGACTTGATCGTCGGCGAACTCAACAATGAATGCGCCGGGAACATTTGTCTTCTCGAAAACTGGCGTCACATCTTTCTCCACCGTCGATGCAGAGGATAAGACCGCGATGCCGGCCAATGCCGCAAGCGATGCTCTCAGAGCAACCATGCTGAGCTTGTTTCTGCGGTACAAAGAACCTCAAGGAACCTCAAAGTCCTACAGCTCATAGCTACGAGGAAGCCAAGGATATTTTACCTACATGATTTGCTTATTTATACGTCTAAAATTCAAATGATATGATGGGCGCGCCTCTGAACCCCTTGCCCGTGATCATCTACGTCGCATTTGACACTATCACCATGTGGTGTTGAGGGGGTACATTCCCCACCAAAAATCGCCCAAAACTGACATTCGGATAGATGAAGCGACTCGAGAGTGCGGGGCAACACGAGATTACTGAGAGCAATTGAGCAAGATAAGAGCGCCAAAGATTGAGGGCCATACTGTGATCTTCTCACGGTTGCAGCGGATGGATCCCCTCGTCACGAAGACGGAACCTGTCGATTCTGGCAATGAACCTTGTCTGTGCCGCAGCATTCAGCGGTCTTGTTGCAGCAGTCCAGATGGAATCAGCAAGGAAATCCGGAAGTCCATCAACGGGGAGCGAGGGGCATAAGGAAGGTGGTATCCTGCATAACCCCCTTGTTACCGTCGCTGGCGCGAATGCAACGTGATCTTGGCGCATACTGCGTACAGTGTTGCTTCAGTTGGCGTGACCGGGATGGTGGCCGATACTGAGTGCGGAAGAAGGAGATTTCACCGCGATCAAAGTGTGGTGAGATATCGGGAGGATTACCAAGGCTCGCATTCGGTCGAGGGGTTGACTAATGGAGTCCGTCGAGACTCAGCGCACGAGGCACACGTGAAAGAGCTGGCATGCAGCGTTATCGACGCCAAATATTAAGCTTAGATTCACTCGAATAGTTGGCCCTCCAAAGTGAGAGCAACGGTAGAGGTCCTTCATGCCGATGTCTCGTTCACCACCGACCACGCTCCCTCCAAGTACAACTTGTCCAGCGCCGCCGCCGCCGTGGTATTGTCCACCTTGAGGTTCAACCAGTGCTGATTAGTGACATTCCGATCGTAGACCCACTCATTCGACCCATTGGCATGGACAAAGTTGCGCCCGTACTTGTTACCGTATTCAAAGATGTCCCCGAGACCCTGCATAGCATACAACACCGTCAGTGGATCCCACGACTGCCGGGGCCGATAAAAGTTGTAGTAAATGTAAGCTTGCCGGACCGGATCCGATACGGGACCCTCGGCGAGCAGCTTCGCTCCGGACAGCACGATTGAGCCAACCTCAGTGCCGCAGAAAACCACACGCCCCTTCCAGTTGTTCACGACGTGCGCCGTGTGTGAAGGGTTATCGCCAAAGAAGTTGAACTCACGACCGGACGGGTACTCGCCGCCCATGACAACCAGCTCCGAGACCTTGCTTGCAATCAACGCGGGGCCCGTGAGGTTAGAGATAGCGTCGGCGGTGGAGTTTAAGAGCGCGGAGAGGTTCTCGAAGAAGCCGATGGAGACAATGGTCACGGGCTCGTCGGCCCCGGCGAGGATCTTGCGGTAGAGCGTCACCGCGTCCGAGGCGTTTTCGGCCTGGCCAAAGGGGAGCGAGCCGCCCGAGTAGTGGTATGAGATCTTGCTCGCGTACTCGCCTAGGTCGTAGGCGAAGGTGTCGAAGAAAGGCTCATCTGTCATTGGCCTGCGTGCGCCGATGGGGACATCTCCAAGGCCATAGTGAGCGAGGATTGCCGAGGTTGCCGTTACGGAGTATGTTGAAGGGTAGTTGACGTTGACACCGAGGAGATTCACGTCTGGTGAGGTTGCCGCGAGGAGAAGGGCGCCGGTATCACTGTTGTGATGTTAGAGCCTGGGTGTTTGGTGAGGATTGGGGGGACATGGGTGGCACTGGCTCGCAGTCACTGAAGATGTCAGTATCGATGATAATGTTTTTGCGCGCTGCCAACGCCGGCAGTATGGCCAGCGCGGCGGCTGCGACTCTCGCGATGGACGCTGAGACCATGGCTGATGAGGCTTGCCACTCAGAAACTGTCTTGAGCCAAGTTCATGAGTGAACGGCGGGTTGGAAAACTTCGGATGAACTGGTGTTTGTATTGAACCTTTCAGGGGAGAATCCTTATCTTGACTCGGTAATATGAGGGGAAATAGAACTCCTCTTGCCAGGGGCTAACTCCGATTTTAGGAGATGAGTGGAGCTTTTAGTTCAATTTGAAGGGGATTTTCCACGGGAAATGTCCTCATGGTCAAGGTTCAACGTTGAAGAGTCAACTTCGATGAAGGGGGTGAGCCGATAAGGAAATCTCTCGAAATTGCTGCGTTTACCAAGCTCTTTGAGAACTCGTATTTGCAGCAGATCGGCAACTGACATGCAACGAACTGTGAGAAAACTCCATGCTGTATCAAACACGAGAGAGACTAAGCTCTTTCTACTTCATTTGTATCATATGTACGTCTATCTTATGATGTAGCTCATGCGGACTATTTACTAAGAGTAAGAGCCGACTTAGATCAAGAAAATGCTAAACTCCACTTATGTTCTAAAGTATGCTTTCCTCAACATCGCGGGCGAATCCTCACCGGTACCTTTCTATCAAATGCATGCGATCCAAATGGCATAGCTCGATGATGTGACCGAGCCTTGGCCGCATCCGCCGGATCCAAAATCTCCACGTCAAAGTCCCTTAGAATGAGAAAGACGGAGACAAGAATAGTATTCTTTGCCAATGTCTCGCCCGGACACCTCCAAGCGCCTCCTCCAAAGGGGAAAAAGTGCCCTCGCAGCGCTGATGGATTCGACAGTTTAGCCTTGGAATCATCGCGCACGTACTTCTCCGATACAGTGTAGTTGTGCATCACCAAGTTAGACTTCCGAAGCGGACCGCTTGTCGGATCATCGGGGTACTCGAGGAACCGCTCTGGCCAGAAGGAATCAAGAGAGTGCTCTTTGACCCCGTTGATGGTCCGGCCCGTGTTCCAGATGGCCCCGTCGAGGCCGCCGAGCCAGCTTGCTGATAAGGCGGTGGTCCCCGATGGTAAAGTGGAGAAGGAATCCCCGTGGAGACGGAGACCGGCACCGACCGATTTGCGGCCGATAGCGCCGGCAACGTGAAGTCTTAATGTTTCTCGATAGACTGAGTTCAGTAGCGGAGCCGATGACAATGCTGTGCAGTCTAGTGATGCTGCCTTGCTGTCGTTTCTAATGTCTAACTCGTGTCTTAATCTGGACGTAAGAGTTGCGTCCAGGAGAGCATGCAGCATCATCCAGCAGGCGGCTGGAATGGTGTTTGCAGTTGTTCTGTATGATGATATTAGACCAAGTCCACCTCCAACTTGCAAAGACTGGGAGTAAGTGGACTTACACAAATAAGAAGCCTAGGATGACGCTCGAAGTTCCGGCATCCGAGAACCCGAGATCCTCATAGCGCCGGACCATGTTCCTCACGTAGCGGGTGCCCCAGATAGGATCAGACTCAGCATCACCCGGTTCCGCATCATCGTTGTTACTATTAGAGTTGCACCAGTCTCTCCACTTGCTCAGACTCCTGATTACCCGGTCGCGCCTACGGTACTGGGACGGATACATCCATCGTGGGCTCCCACGTGAGACAACAGGGAATGCATCGTAAAAAGCCCAAAAGTCTTCACAAAATGATGGGCAAAGCCTGAAGATGTGCTTCCCATACAGCGCCTCGACTTCCGCACGGAAAATGGTGTCGCGAACGAACTTGTACAAATCAGGGATGGCGACGGGATCTTGGTTAGGAACAGGAGCGTTCTTTGGGCAGAGTCGTTGACTGAAGTTGGAAGAGAATCTATCCATCACAAGCCTCAGATTCTCCCCGTTCAAGAAGGTGATGAAGTCTTTTCGTTGATGTTCCATGATTCTTCGGGATGCGTCCGGATGAGAAGTTGTGAGTCCTGCTTCGTCACGCGTCTCGAATGCCGAGATGTGATCGTGGTCGAACACATGATAGTCCACCGCTTCCAAGCCGAAGAAGATTGTCAAGGCATCGAAGATCCCAGGTACTGGGACGAGGTCTCGAGGCCCCTTGAAGAGTGACCGCACGCCTCCACCGGGAAGGACATAGCAAAGCGAACTTGCAGGTACTGAGAGGGATATAACGGTATCATTTAGGCGAGACCTAAGGCTGGTATTAGCAAGCATAAATCTGAGGTGGATTTCCATCATGTCACATACTGTAGAGGCCGAAGGAATTTCTCGGCGTTGAAGAGAATCGCATAGACGTGGCCAAGTCCGGGAACAAGGTATGGAGGTATGACAAGCCGCCTATTTCCTAGCTTCTTGTAACGTTGATTCTTCCAGAGAAACCGGATAGAGGTGAGAAGATAAGTGAGAAGGAAGGGAGTGCTCAAGATCAAAACAGAGCATGCGGCCTTGGCGAGGGCATCTCGTCCCGCGCCGCTCAAACAAGCTTCTCCGAGCACTAAGGTAAACATGATCAGAGCCTTGATGAGTGTCAAACCAAAACTTCTACGTCATTCAGAAAGAGGAAAGAGAACATCCATGATCCAGAGGATCTTTGGTTTTTCTTATAAGATTATTCAATGTCTCAAAGAGCTAGAGACCCATTATCACATGGAAGTTTCGACATATCAAATAACAGCTGGTAATCGCGCGAGTAGACATCTATTTACATGATCGCGGAAGGTTTCAGAGTGTCATTGGGGGCTAGTATTACCCGCTGCCTTGATTTTGGCCCCTCGTCACGCAGCTCGTGTTGGTTACGAACATGAAGACTTGGCTGAAAGGATTGTGGCAGAATAATTACCCTTGCCGCGGGTGATACCTTCTTTTGGCAACTCTTCAGCAAACAATGTCCATCTTTACGGCGCGGGCGCCGCAGAAAGACATATATCACTTATCATGGCGCTTCTCCGACTCCAAGGTGGCTTGCGGCCCGGATTGCATGCTTCTCGGTACTCGGTGGATCCGTGTATTTCGTTTGTTCGAGGGAATGGCCATATCAATCCAAGCCGGAGATCCCTCAACTTGACTTGTCTTCCAGGATACCATGGATCGCCATTGGACGCCCGGTTTGTTTGCTTGGTTGGGTAGCTTTGGTGAAGGCAACGTCAAGCGCTGAGCCGCCGCACCGCCGAGTCTACCGCCGGCATTCAATGGAGACGGACGGTGACTTGACTTGCATGTGTACTCGGAAAAGAGCATACACAGTTACCACTTGGGACGTGGCGAGCTTTCGACTACGGCACCAACCCCAACGCTGAGCCTCCGAGTTTTGGGGGTCGGGATTCTGCACACAGCTTCGGAGATGGCCCCCAGGGATGGTAGGGCAATATGTGGGACTCCGTTGTGATGCCGCATGGGATTGGGCTCAACTTTTGTTTGCTCAATGTCGTTGGAAGCGGCAACATGGTCGTTCAGGATGCGATGGGTTTGATTGGACCAGCAGGTTGGCTTCGCCGCAGGTGAGGAAGAATCCATGCTCCCACGGGATGGATGCACTGTGACACTCTCATGCAGGCAGTCACTTGGCTGGATTCAGCCCGCCACGGTCCACAGGTGACAATAGGTATTAGCAGGCGCCACTCCCGCGGCACCCTCTATATTTGACAGATATCTTCGAGCAGACAGGAGGGTTACACATAATTCCTTCTGGACGGGTGGCTTGATGTGACGATTTGGGACTTTGCAGCCATGTTGCCAACCTTGCTGTTTGCCTTTGTGTATGCGGTATCCATCACAGATTCGTCAACTTAGTAGGTAAGATAAGGTAGTAGGACAATCCCAGGTTATTGGATCGAACAAAGGTCACTTGTACAACATGTTGCGATCAGGACCGTTGTGGGGGTATTGTTGAAGAGGATGGGCATTCACAGAGCTCGCAAGGGAGTAATCAGTTTAAAGGCTAGCGGTCTGATGTTGGCGGATTGGAATTATTCCCTCTCCGCACAGTATGGACTTGTGCCCAAACTACTCCAGGGCCCCGCCCGTCCACGAACAGTCTTGGCCTAGCTAAGAGATAGAACAATAGAAACAATGTGGGAAAAGTTCGGAACCGCCAGAAAGACAATCTTTTTCTGCAGTATTCCAAGGCTCATTGAGTTGATGATACAAAGGTATCTCGGGTAGACCTTAGGTAGGGAACTCATCGGCCATTGAACACCAAGCAGGACGATCTGTGTCCTCGCCAGTGTCGGACCGGATGACGGCGTGAACTTGACACTCTGGACAAGATTCTATCAATTTTCTCCCTGAACGTATCCTTCGAAGACTGCGGATCTGATCCCCGATAACACGAACAGCATGTAGAAGCCTCTACGATTATGCCCCGAGGACTTCAAGATCGTTTGCTTGCGCAAGATTCCCGGAAACCAACCTGGACCGGGCTAATGGACGCACTGTTTGCACAGTTTGCTTGAAACCGACATCCATGCCCTGCAGGATCTCGATGCCGTGTTAGATTCGTTCCGTACCGTGAGGGCCGCAAGCTCGGGGCAACGCGGGTTTCCGTTTCCTCGGGCCATGGTTAGTATAAATGGAAATTACCCCGCAAGGGCCGGGCGGTCCGTGAACGCCGATAGGATAGTTAGTGTACTTAGCACAGAGATCTTGTAGTTGGGGTAATTGTTAGGCATTCCCCGCGTTGTGTCTACTCATACGTAACACAACACAGAAGCTTGGTGGTTCACTCCAGTGCCGGCGGGAAACATCCTCTGTGCGTCGATGGAGTGCCGAGGTCCTGATGACAGTATACTAGGTATCAGCCCCGCCTACTGTTGGGCATGCTGAGATAGTAAATCTAACAACACACAACCTAACCGTCGACTGCCTGCAAGTTGTCAATCAGAGCCAAATTCCAGGTGTTCAACCCGTAGCTTGCATAAGCATGTCTTCTCAATCTCGAGAAGCCCCGTGGAAGGCCATTGCACGACGTAAACAGGCTGAGAGAGCAGCGCGCATCTCATCAAAATGGCACATCCCAATCAAGGCCATCCCGAATGACCCCCCTCAACCAGGTGACGGGCCACAGAGAGTTCTTGACATGCCGCGCCAATTCTTGTCTCAATCAGAAATCTCAATTACCGAAACTTACACGATTCCAACTCTGCTCAAGGCCATAGGGACGCGCAAACTCTCAGCTAGACAAGTGACCGAGGCCTTCTGCCACCGAAGTGCCATAGCGCAGCAACTCACAAACTGTTTGACGGAACCATTATTCGAGACCGCCTTGAACCGGGCTCAGTTTCTCGATGACTACCTCCGCGAACACGGCGCCCCCCTCGGCCCCCTCCACGGCCTCCCCGTCTCCGTAAAAGACACATTCAACGTTGCAGGCGTCGACACCTCAATGGGGCTGGCATATCTGTGCCACAAGCCCGCAGCCTCCAATGCGCCGCTGGTTGATCTCCTGCTCTCTTTGGGGTGCGTCATCATCGCCAAGACCAACATCCCGCAAACTCTCGGAAGTCTGGATTCCGTCAACAACGTTTTTGGCCGGACCATGAATCCTATCAACCGACTGTGCACCGCTGGCGGATCCTCTGGCGGCGAGGGCGTCCTCGTGGCCATGAAGGGTTCCATGATTGGAATCGGAACCGATATTGGTGGCAGCATCCGCGTGCCTGCTATGTGTAACGGTGTCTATGGCTTCAAGCCCTCCAATGGCCGCGTTCCGTACGGCGGACAAGTTCTTACTGGCATTGACGGTATGAGCCGCACTTCCGTGCAAGCTGTTGCAGGCCCTATTGGCCGTAGTGTTGAGGACATAGATGCTCTCCTGCGTGAGATCTTCCCTCGGGCAGCTTTATGGGGCGAGGATTGCATGCCCGCATCATGGCCCTCCAGCTTGAGAGTGTCGTCGATCTCGGGCTGCGGCAAGAACGGGGAGTTGGTTATCGGCGTTCTTCGCACGGATGGAAATTGCAGCATTCATCCACCTCTTGATCATATGCTGGACGAGGTCTCTTCAGCTCTTTCGCACACACGCGGCGTGAAGGTTGTTGAGCTGTCATGCCCCGCGGCACTCACCAAGGCACAGTCAGTCATGAACAAGCTCATGGGCGTCGACGGCTCCGTCACCATGGCCGAGATGATTGAAGCAACAGGCGAGCCCCTAGTACCTTGGACAGCAGCACGATTCAAGAAGGGGAAGCCGCTGCCACTTACGCAAGTTGCTCAGCTTCAGGCACAACGAGCAACGTTGGAGCGGGAGATGCTCAAGATGTGGGTCGAGAACGATGAACACGGTCGCAGGCGAGAGAAGCTGGATGCTGTGATATGTCCGGTTGCGCCGCACCCTGTGCCGCCCATCGAAGCATACAATGCTGTCGGTTTGACTAGCAGTTGGGTGATGCTTGACTATCCTGCAGGAACAGTACCAGTGCGAGACGTGAGGGAGAGTGATCTGCAGCTTGGTCGGCCACAAGGTGGAAAGATCCTGAGTAGCTGGGACGAGAGGAACAGAGAGCTATGGGACGAGAAGAAGATTGACCGAAAGATTTACCTAGGGACGCCGCTGAGTGTTCAGGTCGTTGTACCAAGGTTGCGGGATGATCGACTGGTTCAGGTCATGGCTAGCGTAGATGCAGCTTGCAAGGGCACAAGTGTGAACGCAAAGCTCTGAGTTGAATTGCTTTCGTAGTAAACAGATCAACCAGCCTTGGTTCGAATTGCAAATTGGTCTAATACGTGTTGCATGATACTTCAGGGCAATCTACCATCAAAAGGTATGTAAGGTTCTACAAAGGAAGCCATAGCGCTGGCTCCAGTGCCCAGATCAAACTCATTCATCACGGCGTCCCAGTCTTGAGGAGCCATGATGTGATCGTACGGAGGTACTGCGAAATTGACCTCCGGTAGAGAAGGAATATCCCCAAGTTCCCGTTGTCCATACACCTGCTCTGTATGCGGTGGCCTCTTGCTTATCAAGGATCTTCGCTTGGCAGCAAAGCTAGCGAGCTCATAGAACGTCTTACACACATCGTACAGCTTCTTGGCTGAAGGCGAGCTGATTGATGTGGGTTCAATGGCAGAGACTGCGCTGCAGAGGAGTGTTAGGTCCTCTTCGGACGCCGTTGCCACGGTGTGTCCCGCGAGCACTACAAAGCTGGCAAAGGGTACTAGAGAGAACATCCTAATGAAATGTTATTAAATATGCATCAAGAATCACAGCAGCGTCATGTGTGAGCATACATGTTGAGGAGCATTGTCCATCCAGTGATTCTGAGATGGCCCCAGGATTCGAATGCCCTCACAATTGTACGAAGGGCACTTCGAGCAGCCTCCGTGCATTCGTTGCTGCATTTCAGTGGACTATCGCTTGCTTCATCGCATGGGATGACACGATAAGCTATCGTGACAAGACCGTACATCATGAAGTCGAGCAGCACGGCAAGCGCCTTATAGAGATCGTCGTCGGGAGGGTTATGTCCGATAGACTGCGGAATTCAGAAAAGTCCTTTCAAACAGCATGATCACCCAAACCCACCTGTTTGTTACGCGTGTTGACTTCAAGCAATTTGGAAATCACCGACTTGGCATTCTGGCTTCGTGTCTCTAGTGGCTGTCGAAGCGCTGAAGCAGAAAATAGCTCAACGTGCATATCGCCAACAATAAACGCGTACTCGACGAATCCAGAATAAAGACTGAAGGTGCTGTCAGCATACCAGTTCCGGGGAAAGGCAAGAAGGGATGCTTTACTGTACTGGCACACCCGGAACGCAGTCTTTGGGAATGGACGACCGCTCAGTGGAGACATCATAGGGATGAATCGACGGTGTCCTGCCCATTGTAAAAGCCATGCTTTTGTCGTGGACATAAACATGCCAAAACACTTGTCGCCTTTTTGAGAACTCTGGCTCATTGCTAGGTAGTCTATGCCAACCGAGGTCGATGCACATCCTCGACGCGGCCGATATGAGCTGCCATGCAAGTGTACTTTGGCCTACTTTGTTACAAAACGTGTACTTTTTCGTCAGTACTGGGAATTGAGCTTCGGCGGTAATCACTTGAGACTTACCAGGACTGCTAGAGCTTGGCATGCTTGTATAGAAGGGTCGCTGCAAAGTCTCAAAGACTGTATCGCAGCTTCAAGGTTGGCCTTGAGGAGTTGAGAGTACGCCTCGATGTCTGACTCGTTGATGTCGATCAGGGGATAATGATGGCGTTTGAGTCCTTGGAGCAAGAAAAACAAACCGGCGTTGACAATGATCCAATCCACAGTAGAAAAGTCGGTGATAGCAAAGCAAACTTTTTGGCAATACTCACCAAACTCTTGTTCGTCAATCACGGGGACGTCGATGAAAAACCGCTGCTTTTCAGTCTGACACAGTCGAACGAGCTTCAGAACGCGCTCAGTCGACGGAAGGCTCCTGCCCTCCAACTCGGGATGCTGGGCTTGCGCGGTCAATGGAGAGTTGCCGATGTGAGCGGGACTACTCTCTTCACTGCCCGTAGCCTGGTTGATCCTTTGCACGGTCGCAGAGAGCGCCGAATCGTCGCCCAAGGTCGACTCTAGGTCTGCAGCTGCATCCTTGAGTGCATCCGTGACCCGGTGAACATGCGCTTTAAATGAAGATTCGCCTCTGTATCCCTCAGAAAGGTCTGGAATGTTGGGGGAGTGATTGCCGATGAAGGATGTTGGGGAGACGAGTGGTGATGAGTTCGACTTTAGCTTGTTGATTTCGAGTAGCTGCTGCACCGCCTGCGACACTTCCTTCAGCGAGCGGTCAACACTTTCAATGGCCTCATCATAGCGGGGCGAGATGAGGACGCGCTGTCGTCTCTCGGATGAGCGATGCGTCAGGCGACATATGAGTTTTGAGGCCACACAACTTGAGCATGGCGTTTCGCGGTCGCATTTCGTCTATCCGTTCTCGTCAAAACCCATTGTGCGATGTTTTCATGCTGTGATGACATTGGGGACTGAGTTCTTACCTTTCTGTCTTTACAATTATCACACTGGCCATGGCGTGTTTAGTATGTCTATGGGTAACGGTCATTGTCTTGAGTGACGCGAACTCACCGCAGGCCTTTTGCTGCTGACTCCGGAAGCCTCCATTCGAGGCAGTCAACAATTTCTACGTGAGGATAGACTCTTGTCGACGAGGAAATAGATTGAGAGAGAAAATCAAAACGCAATTAGACTCGATAAATGGGAAGGTCCTACAAGTAGCGGCTTTTCTTCTTTTGTTCTTCGCTGGTCTCAAAGGCCATGGGTACTTGGCGGGCTTGGCGGGGTGGCATAATTAGGAGGTGCCAGTTAGGCAGTCAGTGACTAATCTTTGAGAGAGGTGCACGACAGTAGGTGGTAAGATATTGTACTGGGATGCTTGCAGAATCCTATCGACCAAGACTCTCATCTTCTTCAGTCTTCATTCCGGACATCTCATGTGTAGGTACTTCCAGACTCGAGCTCTTTTCAAACAGCCCATATCCAAAGAGTCTTACGCTATGCTTGGCAGGCTGGCGACGCAAAGCTTCCTGACATTAGGCAGCTATCATTATCGCTGCGTCCTATTCGCACGCTCTGTCAGCGCTAGGCGTAGTAACCCTGAATTCCAATCATCCCCGGGCCCGAGGCCCCGGAAGACTAAAGTTCTCATTTGGGTCAGGATGTGCCACTGCCACACAATTGCGCATCAAAACGTGTGGCTATAGCCCTCACATGGGCATGGTTTTCTTTTGGCAACGGCCGGCAGACACCGCTGACTTCTTGTATTGATGATAGTTACTAGTTCGGGCCACTCCATTAATCAGGCTCTACTCTCACTCCGACGACCACCATGCTGTTTCGGGGCCTTCTCACCTTCACAGGGCCCGAGGGCCCGGAATTGCAGCGATCTCAGCTCAACATGCGTTCATCAAAGACAGCGAAAGTGCCTTGGGGGATAGTTATATTTAAGAAGGCGAGCAGTCTCAATAATATGATCATAAACTGCCGAGCTTGACAGCAACAACTAGGTACCATTGACTACATTCACATCTTCTCGACAATAATCTTTAATTGTTCTCATACCATATCCGCCATGATTTACAATCTCTGGAAACATTGTACCCTTATCGGGTTGTTGGCTCTCTTGGAGGCTTTAGCAGCTAACATAACCACGACGGAAACCTTTGTTGGGGGCACTCCGCCTGTAAGCACCCTCCAAGTCACTGTTGGGAATCTCACTAATACTTGTAGTGTGACGCGCTCCTCGCCGCCGGCTTAGGTGATAGGGTTTTATCGCCAACCGATTCAGGGTACGAGAAACAGGTGCAAACCTGGTGGGCTCGGAATGCCCAGCTTCATCCATGGTGTATTGTGCTACCCGAGAGTACTGAAGAAGTTTCCCTCACTTTGACCACACTCCTGAAAGCTGGCAATGGCGCTGGGGACTGGCACATTGCAGTCCGGAGTGGGGGGCATGGCTTTCAGTTGAACAACAACATTCAGAATGGAGTCACTATCGATTTGAGCATGCTCAATTACTCCCGTTATGATGCCGAAACGAATACCGCAACGCTTGGTTCGGGAGGGCGATGGGAGAATGTTTACGCTAGTCTGGGCGATCAAGGCGTTGTCGTGGTCGGTGGCCGCGATGGCGACGTTGGAGTGGGAGGCTTCCTTCTCGGCGGCGGCACATCCTATTTCTCGCCCAAGTATGGATTCGCCTGTGACTCTGTCCTCAACTACGAGGTCGTGCTCACCAACGGAAGCGTCGTCAATGCGAACAAGACCAGCAACTCTGATTTATGGAAGGCGCTCAAGGGTGGCGGCTCCAACTTTGGCATCGTCACAAGGTTTGACCTGGAAGCCCTTCCTGCTCGTGATATCCACTACGAGGTCCGAATACTGCCCGCAACCGCTTCTGACGTGGTCTCCGATACGCTGATCAAGTTTTCTGATCATGACATGTCGCTTGCTGATAACGCACTGGTCACTTTCCTCCAGTACAACGGCACGGCAGGTCCTGACATCACGATCACGGCCATCTATGTCAACACTGCTGGGCACAATGGTGTTGAAACAGCGTTTGACAATCTGCGGGACATTCCGTCTATTCGCAATGTTTCCGTAAAGCAGTCTGTGGCCAAGACTGCCGCAGGGTCGAAAGTCCAAGGCGGACAACTGTAAGTCTGGCTGATATCCGAACCCTTCGGTCAGACTGATCTTTATCTCTTAGGAGTGCTGCGGCGACTCTGTTGTTCAAAAATGATCCAGAGATTCTTCAATACTCCACCAAGCTCCACGAAGACTTCGTCAAGTCCCTCCAGAGTTCCATCGGCCCGGAAGCCTTCGGAACGATGGTCTTTCTACAGCCTGTCGGAATGGACCATGGAAATATCGCAAAACAACGCGGCGGTAATATGCTTGGTCTTGAAAGATTGAAGTCAAATGCCATCATGTGGACGGGTGGTGTGTATGTGTTGACGAACGACGCAGACTTTGCGGTGGCGGAGGCTTGTTTGACTTCGATGTCGGACAAGATACAGAGATTTGCGAAGTCTGTCCGGGGCGACATGGACCTGGCCTACCTCAACTATGCCAGTCCTCGACAGGATGCTATCGCAGGATACGGCCCACAAAATGTTGAATTCATACGGGAAGTTGCTGCCAAATACGACCCGAGTGGCGCGTTTCAGACAAGAGTTCCTGGGGGCTTCAAGATTGGGAGATCTGGATAAGAGGATGAATCGAAAACGACCATACGTTAGGAAATGGCGCGTTTGTAGATAGGGTCTCTGAAGAGGAAGGACTGTGGAACTGATCTTGGAAACCAAGGCATGACATCCACGAAACGAAGCCCCAATGACCTCTCAAAATTTGGCGAACAAAAGTTTCTATGGGGTACAGCCTACAGAACTGGGACTTCGTATTTACATGTAGACTATACATACAAATTTGAGACCACTGAATCGTTCCGGCCGGGGTGAAATGACATAAGCTACTGAAATCGTCTCGTTGGGAATGATGGGTTGCCGGTGTGATTGGTCGGGAAGAATTTATGATGCAATAGGCTGCTCAATGTCCCGCACACGCCATCGTGCTGGTATTATACCTGCGGAGTGTAGTCATTAACGATGCCAAAGATGAACTCTTCGTAATGACCGCGACCCTCGAAAAAATTCTGTCCAATGATACCGCCTTTGACAAGACCGTTAGCGCGTTGGTAGGCGCCCTTCTCATCTCTGACGATGAACTGGGTAGTGACATCGACCTCCATTACGTCGCCATTTGTGAGGTTGTACTTGACAGATAGGCCTTCGGTCTCAAGCAGTCCAGTGATAGGAGGCCAAGCTGCCTTTCCGCCCCTCTGTCGAACCTCCATGCTTGCCATGTCGCAGCTGACGACGAGAACCTCTCCATCCTTTGCAACATAGGAACGTCTGCTCTCATTGCCATCGTAGTCGAGAAGGTTGTACCAGACGATAGAGTAAGGACCAAAGCGAGCGTGTCCCCAATCCCAGTAACGAGGACCATCAATGATGGACTGATTGCCCCAGTTTTTGTCGTGGTAACCAATACCGTCATCGAAAGCGATAACAGTGTCCTTGACGGCGAGATCGACAACGGTCTCGGCATCGGGGACCGCGTTAGCCCAGTACAGTCCCGGCAAGAGATTCTCGCTGACGCCAACTGCGCCATTCAAGTCGCAAGGGTAATGGGCGGGAGCAATCTGTAATCTCCAACATCAGGCTCTTGAAATTGCACAACAGTGAGGAGTAGGGTTGGGAAGTCACTCACGGCTTTGAAGGAGATCTTGCCATATATACCCATGTCCTTGGAGTCGATGTTGATCGTGTATTCAACATCAGGCTTGTCCACCGAGGTTCCACTAAAGCTCCCAATGCCTCTCCAGTCTCCAGCAATACCTCGGGACCCGTTGGTGAGATGAACCCCAGCATCGGCCATAGCTTCGAAGTAGAAGTCTGTACCATTGGGGTACACCCCCGAAACCTGGACAGCGAGAGGATGCGGGTACTGCGAAAAATTTCCTGAGTTGAAGAAGACAATATTCAAAGTCTGGTTAGAGAACTTTGAAACAACATCAAAGTACCAAAAGTCGGTAGACTTTTCGGCGGCCGGGGTGATCATCTTGTAACCGTCGAGGTTTCCCACCACCGAGAGATGCTCAACGCTGATAGTCCTATTGTGGTAACGAGAAGGTAGGTCGAGGACCCGAGTAATATTGCTGGTTGCAGCTCCGTAGGTCGAGCTGAGCATAGCAGCTGCCAGAATTAGCCTGCAGAGAGCCATTTCAAAGGCGTCTAGTTCGTTGCTTGAACGAGTGCAGAAAAGAAAAAGAAAGAGTATAATGAAATGAGTGAGCGACTGGTGGCATGCGAGTCTCAAATCAATCCAGGAAAAAGGGGCGCGGTTCAGTATTTAGGTAATTTGACGGGCCTCAGGGCCACGTAAGTTTACAAGCAGATGGCGACTAGTTCCTCTGTAAGGTAGACGATGCATATTAGTTGATGATGTACGAATGCGCGGCGAGTTAAAGCTCAACTTCAGACTGGGGCACTAAACTTGTGCCAGAAACCCCTTGTCGAGTAGCCGAATGTAAGCTTATTCAAGTTTACACCAGTTCCTGATTCTTGGAAGAGAGTGATATTTTCCCGACATCAGGGACTTGACCTACAAGTCTACTTCTCAATGACGTGGTAATTTCCAATGGCTGTCCTCCAGCAGGCCGTCTAGACGCCCTTTCTTCTTCACGGCGCTCAATATGAAACCATCGAATGATGAGGCGCCGCTTGTGGCTCGTGATACTCGGACCGTGTAGTTAGATTTTCGTGCGTACCACCTTAGCTCCAGTCAGGCTGGACCGGGCTTGCTGGCTACAATGATCATCGAGTGCCCATTGATCATTGCCCCACAACTATATTATAAGGTGGGATGAACCCAGAAATAGGAATCGTTATGAGTACCATCTTACAGGATGTATCAAAAACGGTGGATGTGCGGCAGCGGATGGTGTCATTCAAGTTACGGCATTGCCTTGGTGCCCTTGTCCCTTGTACCCATTCCCAATACTCACCAAAAAGGTCCAGTATAATTCATTGAGGGGCCATCAGACGATGATGGATCTTCCTCACTTATTAGAGAAGGCCATAGTAACACTTGCCGCTCAAAAGCAGGGCCTCAATTGTTGCAGCTTCTATGCCTCCGTTTACGATACTAGTAACCTTCATTTCCGAAGGTCCTTCAGTCAGACATCTACATTAAACCAGAAGGCTGGAGCAGAAGCTGGAGCCGTTTCTGCTTAGAATATTACTCGCTGGTCTCTCCACAAGCTGTTCTCACAAGCAATGCTATACTGTGCTTTTTGAGCTTTCCAGAGGTGTATTTCAAGGATGAGTTCGAAGAGGACGAGCTCTGTTTCTAGTGGTCACGAAACGACTCCGAACTGGAAAGCTATAAAGACCTTAAGATGCCCAACGAGTTGGATGAAACTCCATGAGCAGATACCATTGAATGATACTCCCTATCAAAAAGGCGGTACTTGCAACAAACCCAACAACTGAGCTCTCAAAGATGTGATTGTTCAAGAGCAACACACCGGTCACAATGAAACCGGCGGATGCCACTGCATTCCAAGCCGCCCCTTGCCATTCGCCCGCGAGGATTCTTGGTTTATACCAGTCTGTCTGGACATGTATGACGAGAGTCATATTGGCAATGAAGAATAGGGCTCCTCCAATTACTTGTGGCATGAAGACCAGAGCCTGGGTGAGAAAAAGATCCATCGGGTTGAGAACTCCTGGGAGGCCAGCCACTGCGGCTACGGAGAGGATCAAACCGCCGGAAAGCATCACCAGACCAGCCTGGAAAGGCACAGTCCGTAGAAGACCGGCGAAATCGGCTGCAGATGGGATCCAGAGCCATGCTTCAGAGCCAATGAGGGCGGGTCGATAAATGGCCGGGATGTTGTCATCGATGGACTTGGTGCCGCTCTTCTCGAGGGTGCCGCGGTCGGCATTGAAAGCGGCGAAGATGCCGAGAATGCCTCCAGTCAAGAACATGGTGGCTCCGATGGTAATGGTCGCAGGGAGAGCAACGGTTGGGAGAGTATCGAAAGCGAGGCTTGGCTCGAGGGAAGGAAAGAGCCCGAATCCTGCATTGATAACGAAAGATACGCTGCCAACCACAAATAGCATCGTGACAATCCAGTTCATATCTCTGTAAGGAAATATTGTAAACATTCGTTTCAGCTGGGATCGCTGTGAGCCTTCAACCTCGATGGCAGGATCTTCAATCGAATACTCTTTTACGGGAGATGGAAGAGCTGCCTCTCGATCCATGTCGCATCGTACACGATACTCGAGGTAGTTTAGAGTTTGTACAACCCGACGCCTTTCCCCTTCGCCGACTTCGATTCCCCGAGAATGGGCGGCCGCAACAGGATCGAATCGTGAAGGGCCCGGGGGTACTGGGATCAGCACCGATGCGCGAATCATTGAGGCGCGGAGGTTGGCTGAGGCGTTCATGTTTGGGATAGAGTGATTCTTTTTTCCTATCAGAGGTCGAGAATGATGATGGGTCCCTGCGATACCGGCTCGCTCGGGTTGACAAAGGTAGAAAAGAAAGAAAGTCGGGGAACACGCTAGAGAATAAAACAACAAGGCGCGAAATGCAACAGCCGCTATGAAAAGACCACGCGAGAACCAGAGTCGCTCAGTAAGAAGTGGGTGAACAAAAGAACACCAAATGAATAATAGTTAGTTGAGAGGATTGCCATTTTCTACAAGCGATGCAAAGTGCGTCGATATCGACAACAGAGGCCCGTTCCCGTTTACCCACACCACCTTGACCGCCAGCCGGCTCCCGCCGTGATGCTATGGGTGTTTTGATGTGGGCCAAAGTTGCGTTGAAATCATGGTGAACGTTTCGAGAATTTGGATACCTCAATCCTCAGACAAGAGATGATATAATAAGAAATAAGGTTGACACACCCGCTCCCGCGAAGTCAATTCTGCTGCACGGTTGCCCCCTGGACTCGTAACCACAATGCTCCCACCGGGCTCACTAAGCTGCATTGTTGGTCGGTGATCTACTGCGGAGGCCGCGGCCACGAACTTCCCCCACTTGTTTCTGCCTTCTCTGAAATGCAGAGTTTCCTCGTTTCAGTACCCCGTACCACCTATGTAGATCAAATCAGCTTGTACCTGCCGTTCTTTTCCACTTGTCAGCTTGCTGGTTTCGAGTCTGTCATGCCGCATTGAGTTATACTTCTCTCCTTCAAAACATGAAACTGACAGTCAGAAAACCAGCCTTTGCAATGATAGACACAGAAGCCTGGCCGTTCTCTCGGCGTGAGGCTCATTATCAAAGCTTGATTCAGCTCTACATGTTTAATTCCAATATCTCAAAGGTCACGGCCCAAACCGACGTATTCTGACCGGCTAGAACCAGCTACCTCTTCAACTCCTTGGCCTGGAATCGTCTCGAATTTGCGCACATGGCACCGCTCGGACAACGTCTCCTTTCTTTGACGCATGGGCTAAGATCGATAAGCCGTCACCAATAACCCGAACAACATCAAATACATGGGAGCCGTTAAATGTCTTGCTCCACAGCGTCAAGGTCAGACTAGACAAGCTGTTGATTTGGACAGCAAGACGTTCGTGTTTGTCCAGCTGGTCACCAAGTTCCGTCTCTTGCACAAGACCGATGACCAATTGGATCAATCTACGCTCGTCCGGCTGAAGGGAATCAGAGCCAGACTCTTGAACAACCTCGGACAAGATTTTCAACCACTTTGTGAGCAAAAAGGCGCACTCCAGGTTAGCAAGAGCATGTTGGATGCTCCAATTCAGGGTCTGGGTACGCGCAACAAACGCAACGCCAACCCTTACTGGAATACTGAGGGCGTATATACATTGTAGAACGGCCTGGTTCATATGCGGTGACCTATCACCGGCAGTAATGATTTGGCTAGATAATGCCGCGGCTATCCCTGGTGCATCGTCTCGGGCAAGAAGCCGTTGGTCAAGATTGTGGCCAACGTTAAGGCGGATGTAAGCCAAGCGTAGGAGGGCAGTGGAGTTGAAACCCAACGGTCCCTTGGGAGACGAAGGGTCCGTCGTTGATTCGTAAGTCGCTTCCCATGATTGTTGCCAAGCACGAAGCGCGGCCTCCATCTTATTGATGAAGTCCCCACCCAGCGAACTATCACCACCAACAATCGGAAGATGCTCACAGGCGTTGCGAGTCAGTAGAATCTGTTGGAGCAGTCCATTAATGAGCACATAGTTCCCGAAAGAAGAAAGCGCTGTCACTGTATGGATGCTCCGTCCTGCTAACAGCATATGCATCTTCTCTGGGAAAGGTCTCGGCGGCATATATGTGTCCCTCAGGGCTGACCACTCTTCCGCGTTAGGCGCTTGCCAGCTTGACGCGCACCCAGGTAGGTTGATGGCGACCTCTCGATTTAGGAGGAGTGGTGGCACGTCAAATGCAACGGATTGTAAGTTTAAGAGGGCGAAGGCGGCAAATAGCGTGCGGCGGCGTTCCTCAAGTTTGATACCTTCGGCCCATTGCTGATTGACTGGCGGGGGTTTCTCTAACTCGTGAATCTTCATCTCGCGGGCGAGCATGGCGACTTGACTTGACATGCTTAGGGCGTCACTTGTCAACTCTCGATCGCCCCATGATGCCATCGCCATGAGTATTATCATAGCTTGCAGCAACCGGATGGTTTTGTCTTGAGCATGTAACTCTGACTCTCTCGTGCGTGGACTAGCGCTTGTCGGTGTCGCAGGGGCGCTTGGATCATCATCTATGGTGACGCGGTCATCATGGGTCAGTCGGTCTAGTGTAGGCTGAGTCCTTTGCTTTAAATGCCAAGAGATCAGGTGCCGAGCAGCAGCATAAATCTGATAGCCCGAGGCCGTTTCGAACCGATAGAGAGCACCGACTGCGGCGAGCGACAGGAGAAGCTCAAGACCGATAGCTGGGGCAGAAAATGTAACGCCGTGAATGAACGGCAGATGGACGGCGAAGCCACGAAAGTACCCTTCCAAAAATCTTGAGAGGGCACGATGTGATGGCAGCTTGAAAGAGCTGGGCAGCTCAGAACGAAGCTGCTGGGCTTCGTCGAAAATCTTGCTGTATTCATCAGCCTCAATCTTCCAGGGCCGGAGACAGTGAACCTGTCGGGGCCTCTGAGCCTGATGTGCTAGATTAATATGCAATGGTGTCTGTTCTGGTCTCTCGGGTTCCATTGAAGGTAGTCGTGCCGCAAACTTCGGCAACGATGAAGTTGCTTCTGTTTCTAATTGTTCTTTACTAGGCGAACGGTCTTGTGGTGTGATGCATATATCTTGCGCAGCAAATGACCTTCCATGCTCAGGCTGAATGGAGGACGGAGCCTCGACCTGATCCGTCGGCGGTATCGCCATGATTGGGGAGCCAGCATTGACAGGGCTGGCGAGTAGAAAAGAGTTTGACAACTGAGTGTCGTGCAACAAGAAGTCGAAATCAATGCCATCCATTCCTGCTAGGAGGTCTTGTGATAGCGAGTCTTGATAGCATAGGTCGGAAAAACCTGCGGCTGCATTATGTAATGCTAGGCTGCTGACGGGCTGGAAGAGAGCAGCTTCATTTCCCAACAGCTGCGGTCTGGCATCATATCCATGTTGATGAGTTAATGTTAGTGCTCCCGACAAAGACGGCGGTGAGGGAACCTCAGCACCAGTCGCCGCAGTTGACAATGGCCCTTCGGCGGTTGTCGTTTCCCCTAACGAAGCAGACAGGTCATCTGGGCTTGCAATGATTCCGTCGGCATGAGATATTCGCTGATGTCTTGAAAGTAGATCCCTATCGAGTTGTGAGCAAAAAAAGCCCCTCTGGGAACTGAGGTGTGACTGGGGACTGTACCTTCGAGAAAATCTCCGACCACATTCGCACAGGAAGGGTTGTTCTCGGGTGTCTGGGCATTATCATTAGCGAACCTCTGGCCACCCTTGCATAGAAGTTCACGGAGCCCAATGTCAGGACGTGAGGGTATGTTGTGTACAGCGGGAGGTTGGGGTCCGGCTTACGGGTGCGTTCATGACGTTCGAGGTGCTCGAATCTCCTGAACTGTTTTTGACAGAACCTGCAAGGTGGGACGTTGCGGCGAGGTCTGCCGCGGGGCGTAGACATGACGAAACTTCAAGCAGACAATCCAACGTTTACGGCTTTGTAATTAGCATGCAGCCTGTCTATCGAGATGCGAGATCTGTGGCTACCACAACGTCTGACTACGCTCCGTCAGCCACTGCAGATGAGCTCGGGACAGATGGAGTTGGAGGTAAAAATCGTTGGGGTAGAAATTAGTTTTGACCCCTCTAACACGGACCTATTCTTCCAAGTGGGTATCCCGGTAGTGCCGCTTGTGTCACCAACATCCCTTACATGGCGAATTCATCAAAACAAACTCACTGATCCTCTAGTAAGAATCAGACGCATTCCAGTTTGAAAGAAAGAGGGTAGAATACTGGGGAGATCCGATATATCAAAGTGTGATTTCATTTGTGAGTATTCAAGTAAATTTTGAAAACATCGTAGACCGTAAAACTATGTACAAGAAAATGGAAATTGTGTTTAACGACTGTTTACATGAGATCCTTGGTGAGATCAAATTCGGCGCACTTGTAGTCAGACTTGGTATTGAACGGGTTTCGGTGCAGCTCCTTGTTGCCATCTTCGCACTTGGACTTGGGCCACAACAGACCAGCCTGGCCCTCCTGGCCGGGGAAATTGCCTGCCATCCATATTGACCCCTTGGAGACATCGCTGTAGTTACCTTTGAGTACAGGCATAGCAAAGAAGCAGGGTGGGGGCGTTTTGCTTGCCCAGCTGCCCTCGCGGATGCCCGTCTTGCCGATGTGGCCATTGTTATTCTCCCAGCATTCGACGGCGTTGCGGAGGGTTCCGAGTTTGTCCATGTTCCAGTCGGTCCACAGAGCCTCCATGTCCTTATTCCCGCCAAGGGTTTGAGAGACCTTCTTGGGGTACCAGGCAAGAATGTCGAGGCAGCGATTCTTGTTTGCCTCCCAAGCATTGTTCGGGTTCGTGCACTTGTCGACGGGAAGGTCGTCTCTGACGACGACATAGGCTCCTCGAAATTGCCTGGCCATCTGCCAGATGAGCGCCTGGTCCTGTTGTTCAATTAGTATGAAAGTCATGCGAGCCATGCAATATTCACTCACCAAGTTGGTCTTCATATTGCTTATCACGTCGTCCAAATTATTGAGGGGATGGTCCCTCAGCCAAGATCCCCAACCGAAGACGGACACCGCCGGGTTTTTGACACCACCGACGCGCATAAGTTCGGGAATGTCAGTCTGCTTGTGACCTTGCTTGCCGAAAGTTGAGGCCACAATTGCCTTGATGTTAGCGAAGCCCTGCTTAGCGACAATGGCAAGTAGTCCCCGGATCGTGTCCGTCGCTTCCACTGCATCATCAGAACCGCCGCTGTAAGAATTGTTAGTAGTCTTTACGAATCTTTTTCCAAAGTCTTTACTCACGAATCTCCCGTAGCCGAGACCATGTACATGACACCACTGATGCCTGCTAAAGGACCCCCAACGGCTGCAGCTGGTGTGGCAAGGGCACTTCCGATACTGAAAGCTGCACCGAGAATAGAGGCTAGGTCGAGAGGTGCCTTTGGTGCGCCACTATTGATGCCAAGCAATTGTCTCATGGTGCCAATCTGGTCGGACGTGATGCCAATAGACTGATCGAACTCGATAGAAAGCTGCGACATGAAGCTGTGGAATGCGGCCATGGACTGGAAAAGATACCACAGTCCACCCTTGTCGATCGCATTGAAGTCGTCTGAAAACACATGTTAGTGAAAGCCTCAGAAGAGAGACAACTTATTATGAGATTCTCACCGCATGTCAAATCATGATCGCAAGGAGCACCAGGCTCCTGACAAGAGAACTTGGTGTGATCCTTCTTCGGGAATAGCTGGCGGTACAGGTTCTGCGCCCAATTGGAATGATCCGGCTGAGAGTTGATATACTCGTCTGCCCACTGCTCAGCACCAGAATTATACCAAAACGTGCCCATATCCTTGATAGCGTCATAAGACTCGCCGGACTTGCAGTTTGGAAGCTTCTTGTTGAGGAGCGATTTGGGGATTTCACCAGGCGAATTTTGCTCAACCGGCTCGGCCCTACGTTGTTAATCAGTCGGCTTTTGCTATTACGGTTGAGCCATTCAAAGGACTTACGAAGTGCTTGAACCTTGGAAGTCAATGCTCCAAATCATAGTGCCTCCAAAACATTGCCCATCCGCCCAGGCCTTCTTATCTTTGAAGGTCTCCTCATCTAATCAGAGTGAGTAAGTATCAGGAATCAACTGTTCACGCAAGGTAGACTTACCATCATAGCCAATCCACTGATCGTCCCAAGTAAGCTCCTTCATCAGAGAATCTCTCAAGTAGTTGGGTTTGAGGCCCTTGTTCTTGATGAGGTTCTTGATCTCCCCAAGAGACATGACGCCATCAGAGTCAGTGCATTCTCCCTTTTTGCTCGGGCCTGAGAAAGAGCAGAGAAGTCCATTGCAACTCTTGTCAGAGACAGTATAGCCACGGCCATACATGGCAAGACCGAAGTTGATCTTCTTGGGATCAAGCCCGTCGAACCATAGGGGAACAGTATTATTGCCGATTTCACGTATGTCAGCTTGACCGCGAACAACCTTGCCAAGAGTCTTGACGTCTTCATCCCAGAATCCATGAAGGTCTGGTAAGAAGATGGTCAGTTTTACGATTTCTAGGCGCCGGTTTGGTACTTTTTTTCAGTCACTTACCATAGGCCATAAATCCGAAAAAGTCGACAAAAGGCTCCATCGCTTTGGCGTCGAACCATCTCAGGTACCAATAATCAGGTGCAAGGGTCAGACTGATGCCGTACTTATCGCCATAAGCAGCACGCATCTCACGGAGAAGCACAGCAAAATTGCGAGTGTCCTCAAGCTTTCTTCCACCACGCTTAGGCTCACCGGGATACTCCCAGTCGAGATCGATGCCAGTGAAACCATATTCGTCCATGTACTCGCGGGCAGAAGAGATAAAAGCAGCACGATTGGCCTTCGTCGCTACCATGTCGCTCCAGGTATGGTGGGTCTTTGTCTCGGGGTTGCTGAAGTCGAAGCCGCCGACAGCAATCCAAGTCTTGAGACCGTCCTTGGCTAGGCCGGTGAATTCCCGCATCTGAGCAGGGTCGTCGTCGTGGGCTGGAACAACGGCGAATGAAGTTGGATCGATGAATGCAAAGGAGTAGAACAGATGGGTGAAGCCCTTGGTATAAAGCTGCTTGGGAGTCTTGGTATCGCATTTCCGGGTCCTCACGTTCCATGACTGGTAGTATCCGATCGTGCGGCTATTTGTGCTCCCGCCGCCTTTTACGCATGATGGGGTAGAAGCGATGGAACAAGAGCCATAACCGGCCTGGCAAGGTGCACTGAGGTTGATTGGGTCGGCGTTGTGGCAGAAGACCTCGGTGGTCTGATGGAAAGTAGTTATCAGTCTCTCGGAAGCGCACGAGGGTACAATACAGGTCGTGGAAAAGTACTCACACCACACCAGCCAGATTGCGAGCAGCAGAGATTCATGCCGCATGGCATATCGGCGTTCTCACTGTATTCTCCGCACATGGCAGTTGCATCGCACTGAGACTGACATCCTTTCCCGCAAAAGTCGGGGCCATATCCGCATATGCTATCGGGACCACAGCAGCTTAAAAAAATTAGAATCAGTCTTCCGTCTTAAGTGCTTCATACTTAGATAGCCACTAGGCTGTGAAGACAGTGACTAACCTTCCATCGACGCATGGACCATCTTTGCAGTAAAGGGGGCCGCGTTTCTCGAGAGAGCGGGAGCTCAATGACCGTCTGGATGTATTGTCGATGAAGGAAGCATTTTTTGAGTCTTCGTAGTATTGCTCGAGGCTCGTCGTAGAGTCTTGTGAAAGTTCAAGATCTTTAGTCGGGACTGGTGGGGCCTTGGATGGGTTCTGATGAGCTGGGCTTTGGGAAATCTCCTTAGCCCATTCCGGTGCTTTTGCTAATTTTTGGGGACGAGTATCAGTTATGCATGTCTCCAGTCAAACCATGATCCAATCAAATCCAAGTGACAAAGTCGAACTCACCTATGACATTGGACCGTCGTACGAACCCGTTTTGAGCATGAAGCCGGCGGCCGGGGGGGAATTGAGCGACGTCGGCATGAATGAGTGTGATGAAACAAAAAGAATAGAGAACAAACGCCAAAGAGGCGAAGCTGGATAGCTTCGACATCATGACGCTAGATATAACGACTGTGATAGTGCTCGACGATGCATCTTTTGGAACTCTGGGGCGATTCACCTGTATCACTGTATTTATAACACTACTTGTCAGCGCAACCAGATGTCATCTGTCCGCCCAATTCATTGGATTCAAAAAAAACTTTTCCCATCCATCATCTAACCGAGATTTTCATGTTCATTAGGTAAAACCGTCATCAACTATGTTACCCTGCAACGATCGTATTCCTTCTTATCCCCTTGATAACTCCATAATCATCATTTGTACAGGCGCTGTAATTACCGCAATTGTTAGCAGTTCGTATCCTGTCATCCCTTCTATGCATGCCGAGGCACTAGAACACGGAAAAGGTGCGGCCCCACGGCTCTGATAGAAACTGTGAGGCCGTCTGACTATAGCCAAGCCGTCCATCCCTCAAATGTGAGCTGTGAGAGCCCCATGGCAGCCCGATACCTACCAAGTTGAGGCAAGTGCGGGATGCCGATGCATGTAGATTTCTTTCCTTGGCCCGGACCGCAAAGCTTGGCTCTTTCCAGCCAGATCCGGTGGAGAGCCACAGGATCAGCATCCTTGCTAGGCATCAGGAACAGGGACTCTAATTCCACTTCACAAGCGGGTGTGATGCTGAATCGCCAACATTGATGCTTTACGTAATATGCGAATGAGCCACCGCTTCAGAGACTATGGTCTAAATTATGGGCCGTCATCCCAGGGGCCATCAAAATCATCAAGTGGTTCCCTCGGACTCTTAGCGTATGACCGTGGCACTATTGCCTACGATGGGGCGAAATGCTGAATGAGGACAACCTTCCGAGCAATGCCAAGTCCAAGTAGTCCGTACTTCC